TTGGTTTCAAACTGCTGCTAGTTTGGTTAGCAGCAGCCCGACTCGTAACCAGCATTCCCCCAGTACTCCTTTAGTCACATCATAGGTTAAATGTAACTTTCATATGCACTGGAAAACCAAAAGACTTGTGTGACTCACTTTCTTGTGATATTTGCTTTATTTTTGTGGTAATTACGTGATTTCATGTCAACTTGACCAATAGAATGTAGTGGTAGAGTCTAGCCTGTCAATCAGGTCACAGGGTAATAGCCACCAGGAGAATTTGGGATCTTCCTCACAATCTCTACTTCACATTCCTGTTGACAAGCCACATGGAGCCATGCTGATGGCAACCAGAGCCCTGGAGCTGGAGGAGCCATGTGGAGACCCATGCCAGCATGGAGATGCTTCCATTGCCACTGGATCCACACAATTTTCCACCCACAGGCCTGTGATATTCCTGCATTCAGTGACATTACATGTATTACAATAAGTCTGAAGAGGAATTTACAGACTAGTGTCAGACATATGAGCTAATATTGAACTTATGGAGTTGATCTGGACTGGGCTGGGATGTTTCCTTAATATGTAATTATGCTTTGCATAAAACTCTCCCTTACACACATAGGAGTGCCTCTGGATTTGTTTCTCTAGTCTACCCGGACTAACACAATTGTCGTGGTCTGGAACTGAACCTCCACTCTCTCTGACGTATGGCTGTACATATATTTACAGAACTCTTATGAAAAAGCAAATGTCATTCTGTTCTAGAGTAGCTAGAGAAGGGAGCATTTTTGAAGGGGGATTAGAAATGTCATTAACTAAAGGACAAGGAGGAAACAGGGCATTGCAAGAAGAGGACACAGCATGGTCAAAAACAAAGATAGAGACCATAAACAGGTTGATCCAGTAGATGTATACAGTAGGGTTATACAACATTCGCTTACTGTGTTATTTTTTCTCAAGTAAACTTCATTTAAAGAGAAGTTAAATAAAGAGGCTCATCTGGAATGGGATAGAGAAAAGGTGTCTGGTCATATTGGATACGCATTGTTTCCTTGCCCTCTTATTGCAGTCATCCAAAAGCGCCCACCACAAAACAAAAGCATCCCAAATCATAAAATACAATGCTCTCATATTTTCCTCTAAGCAACAAAATTTTCTTTCCCCCTCCCTTCTCCCTTCCTTGCTTTGTTTCTTCTTTGATTTAATTCTACCGATGGGAAAGCAGACATTTTTTAAAACAGAAATTTGAGTAGAAATCTATAAGATTAGATGTGTTATTTAGGAGAGGAGGTTTCATAAATATTTCTCATAGAAGAGAGCTGCTCTGAGAACATTCAAAAAAGATTTATCTTTCCCCTAGAATATTAAATTATTTACCAAATCATCCCGCCTGCTCCTCCTTGAGTGCATATTGTGTTCTAGGCACTGTGTTGGGCAAAGAAATAAGTGATCAAGAAAGCTCCATTCATGTGGAACATGTCATAACGGCTGTCAGAGGAAAGGTAGAGGTGGTGATGGAGAACATCTTGTAGTTGGGCTGTAGACATAGAAATGAAAAGACATATACATCACATATACAATGGGACTGAAAACATTGAATAGTTTGGGTGAAGTTCACATGAAGACAAAGCGGGTGAATAAGCAAATGAAGTGAAGAAAGCTGATGGTGCCCGGCTATCAAAAGATATAGCATCTGGGGTCTTAAAGGCTTGAAGATAACCAAACAGCCATCTAGCTCAGAAGCAACAAAGCCCACATGGAAGAAGCACACCAGTCTGCGTGATCATGAGGTGCCAAAGGGATCAGTTATCAGGCGTCAAAGAACAAAAAATCATATCATTGTGTGCTCACCTCCCTGATACGATTGCTGAAGACAAATGGGTGCATATGCAAATGTGACGAAGAAAGCTGATGGTGCCCAGCTATCAAAAGATATAGTGTCTGAGGTCTTAAAGACTTGAAGGTAAACAAGCGGGCATCTAGCTCAGAAGCAACAAAGCCCACATGGAAGAAGCACACCAGCCTGTATGATCAAGAGGTGTCAAAGGGATCAGGTATCAGGCATCATCAGAACAAAAAATATTATCATAGTGAATGAGGCGGAGAGTGCGGAGTGGAGACCCAAAGCCGATTTGTAGGCCTCTGGACATCCCCTTACAGAAGGGTCTCAGGGAGGAGATGAGCCAGTCAGGGTGCAATGTAGCAACGATGAAAAATCAACTTTCCTCTAGTTCCTAAATGCTTCCTCCTCCCCCACTATCATGATCCCAATTCTACCTTGCAAGTCTGGCTACACCAGAGGATATACACTGGTACAGACAGGAACTGGAAACACAGGGAATCCAGGGCGGATGATCCCTTCAGGACCAGTGGTGTGAGTGGCGATCCTGAGAGGGTAGAGGGAGGGTGGGTTGGAAAAGGGGAACCGATTACAAGGAACTATATGTGACCTCCTCCCTGGGGGATGGACAACAGAAAAGTGGGTGAAGGGAGACGTCGGACAGGGCAAGATATGACAAAATAATGACTTATAAATTATCAACGGTTCATGAAGAAAGGGGTAATGGGGAGGGAGGGGAAAAATGAGGAGGTGATGCCAGGTGCTTAGCAAATGTTTTGAGAATGATGAGGGCAATGAATGTACAAATGTGCTTTACATAATTGATGTATGTATGGATTGTGATAAGAGTTGTATGAGCCCCTAATAAAATGATTTAAAAAAAACCCTATCCTTTTATCTGGCATTCCTACATTGGAGGGACAACTTGGAAACAGCGGCAGAGCAAATGGAGAGAAAGGACTGTTTCCTTAAGAAACAAACAACTCACTGCCATTGAGGTCAGGCCGTCCCAGACCAACCCTGTAGGACAGTGTAGGACTGCCCTCCGGAGTTTCTGAGTGTCACTCTTTACGTTTACAGGAATATAACACCAAAGCCACTTTCTCCCGCCTAGCGGTAGGTGGTTTCAAACTGCTGACCTTTCAGTTTGCAGCCCAGTGAGTAATCACTGTGTCAGCAGGACTCCCTGCTCCCTCGGGGTGACTTCTAAAACCAATCTTCGGAATAGCAGGGAAGAAGCAAGGAGAAACATTTTAGATAGAAAAAACCAACCAAGCAAGCAACCAACAAACCCCAAAATAACTCCCCCCAAACAAAACAAAACACAAAATCCCAGCCATGCAAGCTAAGTTCCAAGGCCAGGTTCAAGCCTAGGAATAGGAAGTCAAGGGATTGGGCTAGAGATGAAGGGAGAGCGAAAGCCTGGACATACCTATCTTTCAGTGTTTTGTAAGACTTGGATGGAGGTGAAAATCTAGAGAGGACTACAAAGCAAGAAGCAGTGGGAACTTGAGATGCCAGAGAAAATGGCAACTAGAAGAGGCCCTGGAGAACAAAAAGAAACCTAAGTAGGGAATAAACTAGGGAACGGAAACCAACAAAGGGTCAGGAAGTCACATGTTTTTTGAGGAGCTCAGATGAGGATGGAGGTTAGGCCGGAGGGCACAACTGAAAACCTCTGACCAGGGCAGTCTCATAGGAATTGTGAAACCGAACTTAGCCACAGTTGGGTGAGTGGAAGGTGATGCTGAGTTACAGACACGCCGTGACAATACAAGTCTCCCCAATTAACCATTTTCGCAGGTCACTACTGAGAGTCAAGGGCAAAAGTAGAGTTTGGAGACGGCGCTGCCAATGGTCCAATCGGGCAGAAGAGCGGAGCACACTCCTTGCTGGGAGCCAATCCGTT